GCCTGGGTATTAGTCGCTGGTGTGGGTCGCATCTTGGGGGGACAAAATTAACCCAAGTTGCCCGAAATGCTCTGCATAACAAGGGACTTTCTTTATATTATAATCAAGGGGGAAGCGCTAAACCCGGAGGATTATACAGCGCCTGGGGGGAGGGGGATGTGGAAGGCATTCAGGCTTAATTCGGGGAACTGGAGCACAGAGACTTTCTTTATAGTATGTGACTGATGTCAGCTGTGGTCTGTACAAGATGTATCATGTACTCGTAGAAATTATATTAATCATCTGAATATAATTGATTTTTTATGGTAAGAAAGGACAGTGGAGGAGGGGGGGAGGGGCAACTGCGAGGCTAGATAAATTATAATCAAAACTAAGCGCTAAACTCACAAGGGTCATACAGCAGACTAAACAATACCTACTACCTACCCTGAACCACTTACCTCCTGTGTGATTGGCAGTGCCAACTCTCCGTGGAAAGGGCCTTTAGCCCACCCAATGTACTAGATCCCCAGCACACTAGGATGGCACCGCCAGAGTCGACTGAGCTAGACTCAGCAAGTAACACAAGTGATCAAAAACATCAGTCGTCGTGCACTTTCCACCGTCACCCGCGATTCCAAAGGCAGGTTCCAAAACCTATACTTCTGTCATCCAAAGACACGCTGTCCTTCAGGGCACACCAGAGTGCCGCCGCTCAGTGCGTCCCTAAGGAATCCAGTTTCCATTTCAGGATGGGACTATCACCGAGCTCCACTTTAAAAGGGAGAAATTATGATTTTTTCTTGCCCAAGAGCTGAATTTTCACACTAAGGAGGTTAGACGGAAGGGATGTGGGTGTTACCGGTGATGCCCGACATTTTTGAGTATATCCCAGTCGAGGTTTCATTTAATGTTATATAGCGGACTTCTTCACTTGTAGCTACAGTAAATTATTATTATTATTATAATCAAAAAGAAGCGCTAAGCAGCTACAGTAAAGATTTCAGACTTTATATTACTATCTGACCGTGTCATGATACTAGGGTATTGCTCTTATGTTAATGCTAATATTTATATATGTGTAGAAATAAGGAAAAAGGATGGAATTACTAGTTAAAAGACCGGCCGTTAGTTATACTGCCGGCTGGAGACAGCTGTCACGTGACCAACCTGCTGCGAGTTACTGGTCGCTAACACAAGCAGTAGGTTCATACACTTCTGATTAGGTTTAGTTCTCAACCCAGAGTGCATAGCTCTCTTTAGCAATCTGTTACATAGTTGCATTTCTATAGAATTTAAAGTCTCTTGCACGAGACGATTGACTATTAGTCAGAGATTGCTAGCTTAAGTAATCCCTATAAGAGATTGTCGTTTCTCGAAAGTAACTGAATAGTTTTCCTTTCTGCACAAGATTGTCAATATTGGTGGATTATTTGGAGTTTGGTTATTTAATAATTTATAAGAATGTAAACATACAATTATGGTCTTTTAATATTCATGGTATGTGAAGTATCACAAGGTGTCACATAACGTCCCTGTGAATATGGGATTTTAATGTTTAACTTAGTTACCAAGTACGAAAGGAGACTTAGTATACGAATTAAATAAAGTTCAGAAAAATGTCAAAAGTCGTTAATTGAACCTTAATACACCCGAGAAGCTTCTTGACATTGTCTAACAGTTAATATCTAATTAGTTACTAAGTATGAGAAGACTTAGTATTCAAACGATAAAAAAAAACTCTGGAAAAACTTAGTGCTTATATCCTCTGAGTGAAATATAAAAGGTGGATAACCACCAAGTCATTTTCCTGTTACAGCATAAGCCAGTGTTTGTAACAATGGGGAGGGGATATGAGTGAGAAATAATGAGTCTAAAAGCCCCTTCGGGATTCCTTTTAAAAAGTACCGTATGAACAGCAGTTACTTCAGTCACAGCACGCAGGATTTACTCTCAACATCTTCAGTGTCTGGACGCATCCACCATGACTCTCCTACCTACTAATATACAACACTAACCTAGTGCACAAACTGTGCTAATTTTCCACCCTTATTAATCCCCAGTTACATTATAATAGAAGAGTAAAAACTCTTAGGAGTAATGTGTATTTTATGTACTGACGTCGTGAGGTTCATAAGTGCTGTGCTAGGGATGTGCAAGGGAGTTAGTGGAGGGAAAGTGTGTGTGTGTTTTTTTATAAACACATCGGCCGCTTTCCACCAAGGCAGGGTGGCCCGAAGAAGAAAAACTTTCATCATTCACTCCATCACTGTCTTGCCAGAGGCACGATTACACTACAGTTATAAAACTGCAACATTAACACCCCTCCTTCAGAGTGCAGACACTGTACTTCCAATCTCCAGGAATCAAGTCCGGGTTGCCGGTTTCCCTGAATCCTTTCCTAAATGTTACATTGCTTACACTTCAACAGCACGTCAAGTCCTAAAAACCATTTGTCTCCATTTGCTCCTATCTAACATGCTCACGCACGCCTGCTGGAAGTCAATGCTCCTCGCACGCAAAATCTCCTTTACCCCCTCCCACCAACTATTCCTAGGCCGACCCCTACCCCGCCTTCCCACCACTACAGATTTACACCCTCTCGAAGTCATTCTATTTCGTTCCAGCCTCTCTACATGTCCAAACCATCTCAGTAACCCCTCTTCATACCTCCTAATCTCCAAACTACGGATTCTCTGCATTATATTCACACCACACATTGCTCTCAGACATGACATCTCCACTGTGTCCAGCCTTCTCCTCGCTGCAACATTCATCACTCATGCTTCACACCCATATAAGTGTTGGTATAACTACTCTCATACATTACCCTCTTTGCTTCCATGGATAGTTTCGTCTCCACAGACCCCTCAGTGCACCACACACCTTTTTCCCCTCGTCAGTTCTATGATTCACGTTCATAGAACCATCTGCTGGCACGTCCACTCCCAAATGTGTTAATAAGGGTTTAATTAATTCTATACTAGCTGCAACAAGGGCGCTTACATTTAATTTTTGGTGAAATTAATACGTGTTAGGGCATTTTAGATAGCGAAAGTGAATCCTGCATGCTAGTTCACAGAGGAGAGACTATAAAGATGTAATGAACAGAGTACCACCTGGCAGTCCTCAGAATGGTGCCTAGTGCTTCTAAATCAGCGAGTCGTCTTCGTGTGCAGCTTCTTCAAACCCGAAAATGGTGTATAATACTGACAAGTTGAAGATTGTGACGTGTGCAACATTTAGGTATCAAAAATACCGAACTGTTGCACATGCAGCTTGCTCTTCAATTTCTGTATTATATACTTTTTTATTTGTCAGACGTCAACATCGGTATCTTGGTACAGACATCTTCCACAACTTAATCCTTTAACAACTAGTTACGAGTGAGAAGGGTTGGAATCAAGAGGGACTTGCTTAGCATGGGCCAGTAGGTCCACTGCAGTGCTTCTCATTTTTGTCCTCTTCTACCAGTGGTCCCCACTTTGTTACGTCATCGAGGCCTTCACATCTCACCTTCTGCAGTATTTAAGACTCCGTTCTTATACTTCAGCTTCACATTGTTTCAGACTGTGAAGCTGAACACTTCACCAGGAAGGACCTGGGAGTGATAATGTCTGAGGATCTCACCTTCAAAGACCTCAACAATGTATCTACATCACCTGCCAGAAAAATGATAGGATGGGTAATGAGAACCTTCAAACCTAGGCATGTCAAGTCCATGATGATTCTCTTCAAATCACTTCTCTCTAGGCTGGAATAATGTTGTACACTAACTGCCTACTTCAAGGCAGGCGAAATCGCTGACCTGGAGAATGTGCAGAGAATTTTTACGGCACACAAGTACGATAAAGCACTTAAATTACTGGGAAAGGTTGAAGTCTCTTGACTTGTATCCCCTGGAACGCAGGCGAGAAAGATGCATAATAATATACACTTGGAAAATCTTAAAGGAATTAGTACCCAACTTGTACACGAAAATCACTCCCTATAAAAGCAAGACTCGGCAGGACATGCAACATTCCTCCAATGAAAAGTAGCGGTGCCACGAGTACACTGTCTGGGACCCAACTGTTCAGCTGCCTCCCAGCATACATAAGGGGGATTACCAATAGATCCCTGGCTCTCTTCAAGAAGGCACTGGACAGGAAGCTAAAGTCAGTACCTGACCAGCCGAGCTGTGGTTCGCACGTCGGTTTACGTGCAGCCAGCAGTAATGGTCTGGTTAATCAGACCCTGATCTACCACGAGGCTTGGTATCAGACCGTGTCGCGGGGGCGTTGACCTCAAACCGTCTTCAGGTAAACTACAGGTAACCAGCTGAGGGACTGATCATATCTTGACTTGGCTACAGTGTGTTTCACTGAAGATTACTACTAGGCAGGTGAAACACTCGAGTCAACGAAGAACATACTCGTGTAGCACCTGGAAAATTGGAGGCAATCAAGTTTTATCCAAGGAAAGGGACAAAGTCCAGTTCCTTGGATGAAGAGCCTTTCACCGGCGTAACTGCACCTCCCTCGAGAAGTCAATCCCAACTTAGACCACCTCTACACTATTGACCTAAACGAGTTTAGCTATTCCTTAGTTTTTTTTTTATTTATCACTTCCTGTCCACTTTATGACTGAATATTTCTAAACATCCCTGTTATTCCTGTTTCTGACTTCCAGTTGTACCTCTTTCCTGCATCTCTGACAGCCTCTTACAACATACGACGCCTGGTCGTTCTGGTCAGTCAGCTCGCTAAGTCTCTCCTCACAGACTCTTGGCTCAGGGACTGATCTTTCAGTTATTACTATAACTGAAGAGCTAAACCCAGAAGGGTTACACAGCGCAGCGAGGCAGGATCATAGAGTAACAAGAGTGGAGAAGACAATCTCCTTTAACCTCTGGATTTTCCAGTTTCTACACACGTGTGCCTTTATGTCATGAAGTGTTTGCACAGATTAAAAAAAAATGAGAGAAAAAGACGATAATGGAGAGAGAGAACAGACACTAAGCAAAAATAAAACAAACAGTATATCCTTTAATTCATTAAAATTTATTTAATGTCATTGAGAAGTAACACCGGACTTGCTCGGCAGTGTACGAACAAGCCGATGTTAATTCAGATTAATAAAAACTTTTACAGACTAATTTTTAGAATATATTTACAATTCTCTAGTAAAACCTCATAATTGGTAGCTTCAGTTTACACAGGTGTTAAACTACCTGTGTATATTTATACTAAACTAAGCAACATTTCATCTTAATGTGGCGATAGTTTAAGACATGCAAACCTTAATCTTTGCTCTAGAACATTTTGCACATTATGTTCCATGGACTTTACAATATTTTCCTGACGTTTATTTTTGAGATAAAATATATGCTTTAAAAAGTAACAGAAAATTTCATAAATTGATACATAAAAAAATATTAGCGAGTATAAACAATCTTCAATACTAAAATTGCGTTTGCATTTTTATTTTGCATAAATAGTCAAAGAATTACAAACACAATAGTACAGAGATGCAAGGCATGTTGGATTGTCCAGTCACCCTTATCTATGTACAGTACTTACAGACAAAAGATGGCTACTTGAGCCTAACATTGTTACTGGTGATTACTGGATGGTCTCCTGGCTGTGAAGAGTGTTGCTCATGCTGAGGTACAGATGACCCACCATGATGTACGTGCGCCTCTAATTCGTGGGACTGATCATCACTTTCTTGATCTAGTGTACCAGCAGAGCCACGCCGCTGAGCACAGGAATAATCAAAAGAGGAAATTTGCTCACTGTAACATTGTCGTGGCTCTTCCCATTCGCCATAAATAGGGAGATCAGATTCCTGTGCTCTACGATTATCTTCCATACTATCATTTACATAACCTTTATTATCATACGCTTCCGAGAAAGGAAGTCCTGGACATTTTCTAGTTCTGTTAGCACTGCCTGAACTGCGACGCTGTGTTTCAAGTCCCTTGTTCTGGATGGATTCCTTCGACTCTTCACTATTAGTATCAAGACTGTCTTTTCTCTGACTGTTACCACCTTCACTGGCCGCTAGCGTATCAAAGCCAGTTTGTGTCGTCAGGTTCACCTGTGAAGCTGCTGAACCATTGTGAACTGAGCGTACATAATGTGCTCTTGGAATCTTTATGTTGAGATCAACGAAGTCAGAAGATGAAATATTTTCATTATGAGCAAAGAATGAATTACTGTACGTCACAGAGGGTGCAGGAGAATCTACCAGTTTCTTTCTGTTACAGGAACCGGGGCCCATAAGGGAAAGGAGAACTGGCAACAGTAAGATTCCATGCATCGCACCAAAGAATATAACGAGGAAGACAGTCTTGAAGAAAGTGATGAATATATAAGAAGGAGCTAAGAGGAGTGCTGAGATTGCTAAAATAGTTGAGAGGGCACCTTGCACTATAGGAACACCAAGGGCATACAGACATTCCTGCACACGTTCATCTGGTGTGTCCACTTTAGCTGCTAGATAGGCATAGGAAATGTGAGCAGAGAAGTCAACACTAAAACCAATACACATTATAAGATTGATCATTGAAATGGAATCTAAATTTACTCCCCACAAAGTCATACAACCTACAACACCTACTTCAATAGACATTATGGAAACAGCGACCCAAAAAGAACACACAGGATTTGGTATAAACACGAGCGAGATGATCACCATTATAGCAGCAGCAAGACAGATGGCTTGTATGCTAATCGTCCTCACCAAGATAAACTGAAATGGGGGAAAAAAATCACTATTAAAATTACACTGGTAATGTATTCAAGTGTTCTTCTGACCTGAGGAAGATTTGTGATTTACATACCTGATCAAAGAAAATGAAATATGGATTAAAAACAGTAACGTTGAAGCGAGATTCAAAGGCTACTTTCCGGAAAGCCTCCATCATATCTTTATCCGCATTTGTGTCAAGTATCTCGTGAGTCTGGAAGATGAACCGGGAAGCAACGATGCGAGTCTTGTTTTCGTTGAACGTGACATCCTGGGCGAACACATTCGCTGGTCCTGCCAGGTACAGCTGGAGAGGAAGGGTAACCAAGGTAAGCTTAATACCTGCAAGATCTTTTAAGTGGGTCTTGCATGCAATATCTTAGCCAGTTGCCGTGACCTAAACTGTACATAGGGTTGGTAAGTCGTTTCGAAATTGGAGAAATGTTTTTACTAAATTATTCTGCCCTTTTGGAAGCAGAGACAAAATTAACAAAAACCTCTATTATAATAATCAAAGAAAGCGCTAAACCGACAAGGGTCATGCAGACAAAAACCTCTAGCCTGAATAAAGATAATGCTACCGAGTTAAAAATGTTCAGCATAATTTAATAATCTCAATTTTTATTGAGAAAAGACACTATTAATGAATCCCGAGATCATCTACAGTCATTCCCAGTAATTATAAAACCCACTATCAAAGCAAAGCCGCCAAAACCTTAGAATAAACATGAGGACATATGAACATTGCAGTAGGCCTACTGGCCCATACAAGGCAGATCCTTCCCAAAATCAACCATTCCCACCCATCCACCCACTTACCCAACCTGTTCCCCAAGCTACTCAAGCATTTACTTCAATACCTCGGGTAATGGAGTCAGCTGAATGCCACGAGTTTCACTAGGAAAGGAGGAGAGGGAAGGTAAGCAGCACCTGGGAACTGGCTGTTATGGGTAAGATAGACAAGCCCTGTTCTCGGATTAGTCTCAAAGTGACTATTCCTGTTAAGACAAACATTTGCATCTTGTAAAGCCTTGTATTAGTAACAGAATTACGTACCAGGGACTGCGTATTATCACAGTAGTAAGCAATGATAAAAGCCATGACGAAAGCTGAAATTTCTAAGCCGAGGGTAAATTTAAAATATTATGAAGTCAGTGGTACGTCACATGCTACACAGACAGCAGAGGAATACCTGCGAGCAGGTGGCCAACGGTTAGGGTGTGCCCTTCCCCCACTCATTGAGAGGGCAGAGGGGGGGGGTAGAACACAAAGAGGTGGGGGTATAGGTGAGGGTGTGCGCCCCCCACACAGGAAGGGGGGGGGGACAGAGCAGAGACAAATAGGTAGGGGTATAGTTGAGGGTGTGCGTCAGATCCTCAACCGACAAATTTATCTCAGTGACAATTCTTGCTCACGCAGAAGGGACAGTCACCCCTCCACATCCTGCTGAACTCTGCCCAACTTGCTCCTCGTCTGCACGGCTCACAGGGTCAGTCACCTCTCAAGAAAATTTTTATACGACCCACGAAGTCACTATGGCAAAAATAGCTTACAGATCCTTATTTCCTGAGACATCAACATGGCTCGGACAACTTCAAATGCTTGTGCCTAGCGTGGAGTCCAGCTAACCACATTACAGGAGGGGCAGATGCATACTTGGGCAGGGCAAACGGCATACGGGATTGTGTAAACTGCAAACAAACCAAACTAAACCAGCTATCAGAACGAGAGCAGCGAGGAGTGAAGATCAGCTGTGAACAGGACTTGGCAGCTGCGAGTCTTAAGGATCCAGTTCCCCAGATTAAGATCCTTTCACAGGCAACGAGGCATCCATCTCAAGATAATAGTAATGATAGTAATAGCAGCAATATACTAGTATCGGAAGTACTACTATCAGCAGCAATATATCAGTATTAAGTATAAGCAGTGTTATACATGTTATTGTAAGTAGTAATAACAATAGTAGTAGATATTTACAAAGCAATTTGACCGCCTTTCCTTGAGGAGATGCAGATCAAAGATGATGGTCAACAGTTGGCAGCATCCCAGTAGGACCAGCACAGTCTGGTAATAGCTAGACCCAGCCTGCCACTGAGGAATCTCCTGCAATACAAGTTTCATCCATCCACACAGCAGTGGAGGGAGACGCCGACAAGGGTAGCAGACATTTTGCCATTAATGGCCATGAAGATAATCTACACTGCTTCCGGATCTAGAATTAGTTACAGTAGCTCCCGACACATGAGAAAAGAAACCTTCAGCGAAGTAGCACTTGTTAGGGTGCAACCCTCGTTCATGGTGAAGTAGGCAGTGTAGTAGGTTCAGGAAGTATTAATGTTGGAGTGCCTATTAGCATTGTAAAAAATGCCCCTAGGTACTTCACAGGAAACATGTCTAATATTCTAGTGTTAACAAACGCTAGAACCTTTAGGTTCTTCAGTTCTTTCAATATTCAGTTTCTATCAACAGACTATCAGTACCAATCTGCTACTTGACTAATTCATGCATATTATACAAATCACAGCGCAAAACTATTAAAAATTAATTATTTTTCACATTCCGCAAGCCATGTCCTTAAAACTTTCTATATCATCGGTCAAGCGTGTAAGCAAATTTGGACGAAAGAGTTAATATCCCAACCATTTACGCCGAAAGAGATAAGTTCTAAGTCAGACAAGCACCCTATGGGGGTTGGTTGCACCCGTGCCAGACAAGAGGGCCACTACACCTAGACAAGCTACAAACCCCACCACCGAGTTAAGGTGATCGTCTGGGCTCCCAGGTACTGACCTCTACAGGTCACTTCCGTGAATAAAAATTAAATTTAGACGTTCTAGTGTGACTGCTCATATGTTTTAAAGACTCTGGTAAAAAATGAAGTGCGTAATTCAAGGTTACTCTTGAGCTCTGAACAATCCCGTCGATACTCTTGCTTAAATAACGCGGCTATATAAAGCTCATGTTGGCTACCTAAAAAAAAATTGTTCAAAAGTGACTATACGTGTCTACTTTTGATTAATAGTAGACAAGAAAGAATATACAAACTAATTATAAAAACTGGATTAGAGAAATATGCTTAAAGTACTTCTACTGCATGATAATACTCCTAATTTTAAATATAAATTTA